CCGGGGCCTAGGCTAGCAGGGCAGCAGGTGGTGGGCCCAAAAAAAAACGGTCCTAAGAAGGGACCTGCTCTGAAACCATGTCAGAATAACGAACGAGAATTAGTGAACTAGCAAAGAGTTGGGTACAAGTACTAACCCTAATTGGGTTGTACCCCTTATGGGCTACCTCACTACAGCCTACACAATGTAAGCTATATATACGTTTGACAGCTTCATCCTGCTCGTCGCCTATGTAGACGACCTTCTCTACACCGGCGACAACACAGAACTCCTCGACCGCTTCGAACGGGACATCCAAGACAAGCTCGAGCTGACCATCGACCATGATGTCACTCAGTGCCTCGGCCTCAACGTCACCCAGACAGCCGACACGATCCACCTCTCTGCCGCAAAATACGCATAGACCTTCGCCAAGAATTTCGGCATCGCTCCTGTCGGCATCATCACTCCATCCCACACACCTCCTAACCACGAGCCCGACAGCACCCCCCTCTCCGCTGCCGACCATCGTCTCTATCAGCGGCAGCTCGGGTGTCTAATTTTTGCCGCCGTCACATGTCGCCCAAACCTGTCCTTCATCGCCAGCCAGCTCGCCCAGTACCTGCGCCGACCTGAAGGGGAGAATATGGCCGACCTGCGACGCGCCCTACAGTACTTCATCTCTACGCCTGACGTCGGCCTCACCTACCAAGCGAACCTAATGGCTAACATACAGCTCACGAAGGACTCTATCTCACGGAGCTCCTACAGGAAACGAAGACGGCGAGGAACGGGTCATTCAAGTTACGCTGCGATAACCAGAGTGCGATCAAGATCGCGAACAAACCCGGCTTCGTCAACCGCACGAAACACATCGCCATGCGTTACTTCTTCGTCAAGGACGAAATCAACAAAGGGAAGGTCCAGCTCACCTATTGCCCAACTGGCGAAATGGCAGCTGATTTCCTGATGAAGAAACTGCCACGTTAGAAGTTCCAATACTGCTCGGACTTGTGCGGAGTCGTCCGAAAGATCCACGTGGCGCACCTCCAGGAATGAAGGGGAGTGTTGAAGTATGAAGGGGATTGAGTTTAGCATTCCCATAGGTGCAGCTGTATCATACCCGTCACTATCGAAGCAGCACCTGCAGCAATATCGGATCAGGCTGTAACAAGGGCAAGAAGGTCAACAGTCGCAAAGGTCAAATGTCTCGACTGTTGACCATCTGGACCGATTGACTCACCATCGAGGAATGGCAACAGGCGTAATCGTTTGTACGGTTACACGCAGCGAGTCGGTAACAAGAAGAAGAGCAATAGACAGAGTCAATGTAGAACAGCATGTAAAACAGTTAGAATAAGGGAATGTACCCTTTAGAGTACATGGCTAGCTAGATCTGTTTATTGTGTGTGTTTTATCCCCTTAAATCAACTTCGTCATTTACATCCACGATGCACAAGGTTCATACAACAAATCTTCCGCGACCAAAACTCTCCAAGGCAATCCTATCATATCCAAGATCCTTACTCTAGCACTATGTTTGTATAATATGGGTAGGCAGTAGTCAGGTAAAACTTAGGGGGTACCGAAAACTCTTTGTGAGAATCTTAGGCAAGAATGATTTCACTATAGAAAGTTGAGTACAATAGGGTAGGAAAGGTGGGTACACCACCAAGCAGGAAGTTAGGATAACTACACTAAGGCTAGAACTACATGCAGTTATAATATAATTCTGACATCCCCCCGTAACTGCATGCAGGAATAGCTAAGTGAAAGACACAACCTGCAGGGGTACACCACAGACACAGAAAACAGCAGGCAAGGCAGCAGAACAGGTTCGGCAGCAAAGGGGCAGGCGATAGCAAGGCACTTCTGCCACCCCCTTACTCTCCTCCCCCCCCGACCACAGGAGGGGCAGGAGGGGGAGAGAGGAGGCGGGCTGGCTCTGGCTGGTCACCCCCTCCATCCCCTCACCCTCCCCCTCCCCCTCCCCCCCACACTGCTGCAGGAGCAGCAGAGGGGGGAAGAGAGGAGAGGTGGCGGGACAGCTGCTGGTTGGCCTCACACCCGCCACCCCAGTGCCACTCCCCCGGCTCCCCCACACCCTCACACCCTCCCCCCCAGCGGCAACTGCAGCAGTGGGAACAAAAGGAGGAGGAGGGGAAGGGAAGCACACCCCCCATCACCCCCACACCCGCCACCCCCATACCCTCCCCCCCACGGCTGCAAAGAGACGAAGGAGGAGGGGGGGGTCGGGGAGAAAGCCGTAGAGCGGCTACAGAGGGTCGGCGCGGGTATAGGGCAGGGGCGGCTGCAGCGAGTGCACACGCGGGGTGAGGCAGAGGCGGCTGCACCGAGTGCAGGAGCGGGGGGCGGCTTCTCCAAGGGCAGGCGCTGGGTGGTGCAGGGGCGGCTGCACCGAGTGCAGGCGCGGGTGAGGCAGGGGCACCGTCGCGGGCGCCAGGGGCGGGTCCGCGGCAGCTCAAAACACCGCCGCGGGCGCCAGGGGCGGGTCCCACGGCGGCTCAGGGCACCGCCGCGGGCGCCAGGGGCGGGTCCGCGGCGGCTCAGGGCACCGCCGCGGGCGCCAGGGCGCCAAAGCAGGCGGCAGAAGGGGCGACGCTCGCCCCCCCCCCCAGGTCGCCCCTCCCGTCGCCTGTCGAGGCGACCTGAGGGGGCCGCGTGCGGCCCCCAAGGGAGCCGCGACGGGCGACGGGAAAAGAGGGGGGGGCGGTGCACGTGCCCCCGGTGCGCCGCGACAGGCGACGGAGCATGACCGGGGCGGGACCGGGGCAGGGTCGAGGCAGGGCCGAAAGGGGCAGCGACGGGGCCGCAAGGGGCGGCGACGGGGCCGCTTGAGGCGGCGACGGGGCCGATAGGGGCGGCGACGGGGCCGCGAAGGGGCCGCGAGGGGCCTGAAAGGTCGGCGACGGGGCCGGTAGGGGCGGCGACGGGGCCGCAAAAGGCGGCGACGGGGCCGCTGAAGGCGACGATGGGGCCGATAAGGGCGGCGACGGGGCCGCGAAGGGGCCGCGAGGGGCCTGGAAGGGCGGCGACGGGCCGGTAAGGGCCGGCGACGGCGGCCGCGAAGGGGCCGCGAAGGGCCTGACGAGGGCCGGAGGGGCCTTAAGGGGCCGTACGGGGCCGTAAGTGGGGGCCGTAAACGGGGCCTTACGGCGGCCGTAAACGGGGCCTAACGGGGCCTGACGGGGCCTTAAGGGTAGGCGCGACGCGCGCGGCAGGAAGGTGAGGAAAAAAAAAAGTTGAAGACTGTGGTGGGCCCTTAGGATCGAAAGTTGCTCTATACCATGTGAGAATCTTAGGCAAGAATGATTTCACTATAGAAAGTTGAGTACAAATAGGGTAGGAAAGGTGGGTACACCACCAAGCAGGAAGTTAGGATAACTACACTAAGGCTAGAACTACATGCAGTTATAATATAATTCTGACACTCTTTACACTCTTCGTGTACCCCCCCTGCTCTCGTAACATCATCATTCTCCCTACCTATTTAAGCTTATTAGTTTATGAGACTCCGGTAACAAGTGTTATGAGTTGTAAATGATGAGAGTGTACGGAAGTGGATACGCGGTTGTATTACAACCATTCAGCAAACATCAAAGTGTCAGAATCCCAACCACTAGACCATTGGGATAAAAGGGCTTGTTAAGTAGCGGGTCAGTGCGCCCATAACCCCCCAGGCCAACATGTCTGTAACCCCTTCCCTAGGATCAATCGGGGATCACCAGTGGACCTCTGACACAAAGCATAGCAGTAAGTATAGCGAGGGACCTAGCTGGGTGAGGACCATCGGAATGAGGTTACTGTCGATTCCAAAGACGACGTGGGTCACAATCGGGAGGCGAGGTCATCGGACCGAGCCTGGTCTCCTGAAAATCTGGAGTCTTTTTGCATAGTAGCGTCACTCAGCAAGGAATCAGAAAAAAAAAAATCTTACAAGCCGAGTCCTTCAAAAGTTGGGGTTGTTTTCTATGCAATTTTTCTTACTTGGTTTAAGTTTGAGCAAAGTGTATCCATGGTAACTTGGGGCTTTAAGGGTCATTAATCGGGCACTCGCATTTCCTTGCTGGTCAGAGGCGGTCACGGGAAGCCACGATATTGTCGCTTGCTGGTCGCTCTGTTGTTATTGGACGAGGTGCCGCGATAATATTGGAGATTTATGACGCTGGTCAGCAACGTCGGTGGAGTGCAAGCAGAATCATACGTCCAACTCTCACACGTAGATTCCTCCAGGAGGCAAAGCTACACAGGATCTGACCCTGATATGGGGGAAACCAAGAAAGCAAATATTCCCCTTGTGCATGACGCGTGGCTCTAACCCGCCTTTGTGGAGGAGGGCAATTCTACACACGATGCCAACCCCTGCGCGCGAATTTACCTTTTTCAGGATTGGAAAGTCTGCACCCGTGCTTTTTTTCCAGCCAGTTGCACCCACATTACAAGCCCCTCAAGCAAGTCTGCAGTGGTTATGAACCAGTACGAACCACAGAAACTGAAGTCAAACAGAAGAGACTGAGGTCAAAATGGTAAACGATGGTTACAATTGTATTTATAAGCCCTTTTTGGCTAGTTGCGACGTTGACGAAACTTGCGAAATTCAGAGAGTCAGTTAAAACCTCCTTCAAAAGGCAAACTTGGGTTAGTTCAACGAGCATCGTGTGTATTCGAGTTTACGTTGTGGAAATGACGGGTTGTGGTGTACAGTACAGCTTGTGTAAACCCACCCTTCAAACCACATCTCCCTCTTGGTTTTCTCCCACCACCAGCACTTGCTCTAATCTTGTTTCTCACCCACCCATATCCATTTGACGCCTTTCTCGCACCCACCATTGTAGTCTCCAACTTCATCGCCAGTATTCTTCCAAAGCCGGCCGCCATCGCCATCCCCAATCGACGCACTTTTCGCCATCCTCATCGCTATTCCCGTCGTTTAGATACCTTTCTCCCTTCCTCCTCGCGAAACCTGATTCTTTTCCCACACCCAGAAGCAGCAACCCACGATGGCCGGCCGGCGATCCGCCATCAGCTTGGCGGACGCGGATTTTCTCGTCGCTCGAGTCCTCCGTCGCGCCCGCCGCCATTCTCGGCAGCAGGGCACGCTGGGCGCCATGCTGTCGCCTCCAAATCAGCCCGTGCGGCGCCTCAACGTGCACGAGTACCAGGCAGCCGCGCGCCGCCTGGATCTCAATGTCCATCCATCCCGTCGAACGTTGCAACCGCGGAACGGCGGTCTGAGATCTTAACGTTCCTGCCGCTTCAAACCTCTCCCTTCTCTGCCCCTCTCCATCTCGCGCTCGTCGATCTTTCTTAAATCCGCGTGGTCCTCCTTTTCCTGCCGTGCTCACCTGTGTGTCGCAGGGCGCGGCGCTGATGGGCAAGTTCGGAGTGAACGTGCCCAAGGGCATCGTGGCGGTCCACGCCAGAAGAGGCGCTGCGGCCGCCAAGCAGCTCGCCAGTCCGGCGGGGCAGGTGAGCCAAGTGATGCCGCAAAGAGGCGCTCGCGGCAGCCTTCAGCTGCGAGAGCGCAGGAAATGCGGCAGATGCTCTTCGGGGGGCCGATCCGACCAATGCAGCGTGCTGTCACCTGTTATCCGCTCATGCTATATCGGCAGTTTCCTCACCTGTCGTGCACCTCGCGGCCTCGCTTCTGTCCCGGCTTCTGTCTAATGGCGCGCGCGCTGATGGCAGGTGGTGATCAAGAGTCAGGTGCTGGCGGGGCGGGCGCGGGCTGGGCACGTTCAAGACGGCTTCAAGGGCGGCGTGCACGTTCACGGACGTGGACCACATCTCCGACTTCGCATGTACGCACGCGCTCCCACCCCCACAACCCCTTGACCTCTCTTGCTTGCTGCTTTTCTGCACGTTGCCTGCCGGCTGCCGTCCCAGACGCACTGCGCGCGCGTCCCATGCCCGCGCAGTGCACGAGCGAGCGATGCCTAGATTGCGACTCACTGCTGCTTGGTGACCCGTATTGTGCTCCCCCACCCCTCCCCTCCGCGCTTGCAGCCAAGATGCTGGGTCAGATCCTGGTCACCAAGCAGACCGGCGCCGCCGGCAAGCCCGTGAACAAGGTGAGCGGCACAAGGTGGTGAGAGCAAGCCGCACCTTACGAGAGCGCGCGCCAGTGCACTTCCAATATTTATTTTTCGTTCAGATTGGGTTTGGTTTGGTTGGGATCCGACGAAATGCGCGTTCATGTGCATGGCTTGATTCTCCGTGTGTTGTGCGTGTGCGTGGAGGGTGCAGGTGCTGATAGCGGAGATGCTCAAGGTGGCCAACGAGATGTACTTCGCCATTCTGCTTGACCGCGTCTCCGCCGGCCCCGTAAGCCCTCGCACCCGCGCACCGCTCCCCGTCGCACCCGCGCACCCGTTCCCCCCTCGCGCCCGGCCCTCCTCGCACCCGCCTCCCCTTCGCTGCGTGCTGAGCCATTGTGGTGACCGGGCCGTGCATCCCTTTTCTGCACCGTCGCCCCTCGCTGCGCCGGGGCTTGCGCGTTCAGTGGAGCGGTGGCTCACAGGCACGGCCATGATGCTCGTGTGCGTGTGCATGTGCGTGTGCGGTGGTG